GGGGTGGCCCCGGGGCATCTGGGTGGGAAACCAACCTAGCATGTTGCAGCAAGCTAAACCAAGCTTGCAACATGGATGCAGCCTGTACTTTGAACAGTAATGACGTCAGGAGAGTACTGGAGAACAAGCAGAGAACACAAATTGCAGGACTCCGTGTCAAGGTTTCAGTGACCCAACAGGCAGCATGACGGAGGTAAAAGTGTTGAGTGTCACCCTGAGACAAGGGCACAGCAACCAACGAACCCACACAAGATGGGTTGGAACCTGGAAGACACATCCACTGGTCCACCGAGCCCTGACAGGGTTTTCCAGGGCCCGTAGGGTGACGACTACGGGAAGTCCGGGCAAGGTGTCGCTAACGAGTTAACACCCAAAGCTAACAAGGGGTAGATGCTAACACTGAAAACCCCTGCGACGTGTACAATCACGGGGGCCTAGCAGAGGGCCACCAAACAATGCCAGTGGAACTATAGCCTCACTAGGCAGACCCCTACCAGGCAAATGAAAATAAAACAAAAAGATAAACCCCGCAAAAGTACACCATCCCCAGAGGCAATAGGAACCGGTCACCGTGTAGCTAGCAGGTCGCACAACACCTTGACGCCCCAACCAGCACAATACCAGTCCCTACCCAAGGCCAAACAATGGCCCCAAGCCCCAGCTGGCCCCAAGGACGAGGTAAATGACGAGCAGCAAGAACCTCTACGGGAATGGGTCCCGAACGCCCCAGGAAAGATAACCCTGTCACGCAGGGGCAGTACTCACTTATGGAAGGAAGCCCCTAAGCGCATGCAGCCCTGGTACTGATGTGGAATACCTGGCCACCACACAACACAGAAACACAGCAGTGAGCGCAATGGAGGCAAACACCGCCTAGGAAACTGAGACCAGAGAAGCATCTGTCCCGGTTGACATTAGCTTACGATCTGGAGTGCTATGCAGCTGGCGCGGTGAGGTCTGGGGCCCCCCCCTCTACCCCTCTTGGGGAGGGGAAGGGGGGGGGCAGTGACAGTCCTCATTAGCGGAAGCCCTACCCCGGGAGAGGGCTGCGTGGACAAGTGGCGCAGCAATAGTGTGTTACGTTTGCTTGTTTGCTTGGGATTGAAGGGAATTCTACCTCTCTGTTCGGTTTTTGTTGTTAGTTCCTTACCATGTGGGGTTTGTTTTGTTATCCCTACCTTTCTGGGTGCCTAACCCAGGTCGATGGTACATAAGGAAAACCCCCAACCACAGGGGAGGAAGGTTTCCAGGGCCATTGCTCCTTGAAACCTCTCTGAAGGGGCCAGGTTCTGGCGCTGGTCCCTGGTAGGTCTGAACTCCATATCTAATGTCCAGGTCTAATATTACATACATTAGCCTGATAAGCTCCAGGGAGCCATAGGGGCTCCCCTCAGGAAATTGCACAATAATATTACTTCTACTTCACATCAACAATAAATAGTTTTGGTGAAAAATAATTTTTTTTTTTAATTTCCTAAGACATGAAGTACCATACAAATAGAAGAAAAAGTTCCCACTCTGAAAGCAAATCTTCATTAAAAGATGAAATGCAATTGATATAAATATTAAAATCTTATTCATTAGTCCAAAATAATTATTTTAGTGGGAAGCCCCTGGAGGCTTCCAGAAGTTATCTTGCTGTGATTGCTCCATGCAAATGGGCCAGATAGGATACACAAGCCTTGTTTGGCCTACCAGGGACAAGAGCCAAAACCTGACCCTCTTCATACAAGTGCAGACAGAGTGAGTGACAATTTGCCACCAGTCGGGAAAGCATTCACAAAGTCAGCAAAGTTTTACCGACAACTGGAGAGTTAATAAAGCCCAAAGTCTCAAAACTGACAAAGAACTCTGTAACTGATTCACAGAGACCAAGAGAAACGTTCAAAATTAGCACAAAACAAATACTGTAGTATCAAATGCCACCACTAGGAGACCCAGCATCCGCAAGCAGCCATCTTCCTTGGTCGGTTGTTTCGCTGATACCCACGTGGTCAGTAGTGTTCCGGGTCTTTCAGATGTAGAAAGCTCCCTGCTTCAAGCTAAGTGGCGACTGTACATGGACTTGCTCCTGTGAGGTTGTGGCTTCACTTGGTGCTGCCCCGGCTGTGGAGACTTTGAGGCTTGTAGTTCCTGCCTTAGTGGCCTTACCCAAGAAGCTCACCCCCTCTCCTTCAGGTGGTGTGGGGGGGGGGGGGATATTTCACATGGCCCATATCACAAGTTGACAGGCCATGCTGGCCCATTTGTTAGATTTAGCTTGGTCCTTTTTTCTTTGTTCATCTCCCATTCCTCACCTCTCCTCTTTCTGGAGGATGCAATGTCCCAAGTTTTGTTTGTGGCAGCCTTCTCCTGTCAGGCTATCGATCATTTGCTGCTTTCTCAGGGTTCTGCCCCTGCTTGGAGGCAGTCTGATAGGGTTAGGACCTCACCTGCTGTTGGGTGAGGGAGGTCCTTAGGAGAATCAGGTTTCCAGGCCATTGTGCTTCCAGTTACGAGTTCCTTTTCTGCTAGATGTAGCAACTACATGTTGTGTAAGTGATTCTGCAAATGGTATATGCTGTCCTGTTGAGGCTGCCATAGGGAGTGCATCTGGTATGTTTTTCCAGCTCCTGGTCCCACAATTCAAAGGCCTTTAGGATCATTTCCTGCAGCGAAGTTGGTTGGATGCTCCCGGAGCCGGCGGCTGAGCGGACAGAACACTGGACGCGTGATCCTGTGGTCCTGGGTTCGATCCCGGGCGCCGGCGAGAAACAATGGGCAGAGTTTCTTTCACCCTGATGCCCCTGTTACCTAGCAGTAAATAGATACTTGGGAGTTAGTCAGCTGTCACGGGCTGCTTCCTGGGGGGGGAGGCCCAGTTGAGGACCGGGCTGCTGGGACAATAAAGCCCCGAAATCATCTCAAGATAACCTCCCCATTTCTTTGGGTTCAGACTTTTGGGTCAGTGTATCCACTCCAGCTCTGCATCTGGTCATTGCGAGTTGGGTGGACACATGCATGGTCAAGTTGACCTCGTCCCCTCAATGTATGTTTCCTGGTTGTTCTTGGTCCCTAAGAGGGACTCATCAGATCTACGATACATCTGCAATCTTTCAAGTTTGAACACATACATACCCTGTCCAACCTTTCACATGACCACCTTGGCTCAAGTCGCACCTGGTTTTACAGACTGGAGGGTTCAGGGACACCAAGGATGTGGTGTCCCTGGACCTCAAGGATGTGTACTGACACATCCCTATTCATCCAGGTTCAGGGATTGTTAGTTTTTGAGGTGGGGCATCAGGCATAACACTTTAAGGTTCTTCTATTAGGTTGGAATCTGGCTCCCCGTGTGCTTACAAGGTTGGCGTGGGTGATTGTGGCCTGGCTGCCCCTTCTAGGGGTTCATGTGTTCGCCTAACTCGACATCAGGGTGGTGTGGGTTCTCAGTAGGTCCGTGTGTTAGCTAGTCAGGGATCTGGTTCTTTCCCAGCTTGCCAGGTTCAAATTACTGGTTAACTTGTTTCATCCCAGGTTCAGTCTTGCCTAGGCCTCGTTTGGGACTAATATTTGGGGTTGGGGGTTTTGATGTTTCAACAGGGTTCTGGCAGCCTGGTATTTGGTTAAAGTTCCTGGTCCCAGTCGATTGTGTGTTGTTTTGAGCAGTCTCTCCCAGCCTGGATTATCTTCTTGATCCTAGTGTATGCCACCTCTTCTCTTCCCTGGTAAGTCCTGTTTTTGTTCTCTGTTGTTAGCTTCAGAAAGTTACAAGGGTCTTCCCCTGAAACCCAGCACTGAATGTAATGAAATGCCTTTTTCTGGATGACTCCCAATGGCTCCCTGATTCCTTCCCCTAACAGGTTAATCAGTTTGTTGGTGGGAGGTTCATCAGGTCCAGAAGTGACCAAGAACTGTGTACAGAAGCTGAGCTGCATGCTGAAGGTATTCCCAACTACAAACTTTGTACTAATTTTGAATGTTTCTCTTGTTGTGTGTGAATTGTTTGACAGTTTCAAGTCTTCAGTTTTTTGTCAACTCTCCAGTTGTCTGTAAAGCTTCACTGCCTTTTTTGGATCATTGATAATGTGGTGAGAAATTGTCACTCACTCTCTTCACCTTTGTTAGAAAGTCAGCTTTTGCCTCTGGAAGGCCAAACAGGATTCTCACATCTAATATGATCCATTTACATAAAGCAATTTCAGTGAGATAACTTCAAGGAGCTACTGGGGCTCATCCAGTACCAACACCTCATGCAACTGTACCATGACTTCCAGTACCAACACCTCATGCAACTGTACCATGACTTCCAGTACCAACACCTCATGCAACTGTACCGTGACTTCCAGTACCAACACCTCATGCAACTGTATCGTGACTTCCAGTACCAACACCTCATGCAACTGTACCATGACTTCCAGTACCAACACCTCATGCAACTGTACCGTGATTTCCAGTACCAACACCTAATGCAACTGTACCGTGACTTCCAGTACCAACACCTCATGCAACTGTACCGTGACTTCCAGTACCAACACCTCATGCAACTGTACCGTGACTTCCAGTATCAACACCTCATGCAACTGTACCGTGACTTCCAGTATCAACACCTCATGCAACTGTACCGTGACTTCCAGTACCAACACCTCATGCAACTGTATCGTGACTTCCAGTACCAACACCTCATGCAACTGTATCGTGACTTCCAGTACCAACACCTCATGCAACTGTATCGTGACTTCCAGTACCAACACCTCATGCAACTGTATCGTGAATTCCAGTACCAACACCTCATGCAACTGTATCGTGACTTCCAGTACCAACACCTCATGCAACTGTACCATGACTTCCAGTACCAACACCTCATGCAACTGTACCATGACTTCCAGTACCAACACCTCATGCAACTGTACCATGACTTCCAGTACCAACACCTCATGCAACTGTACCATGACTTCCAGTACCAACACCTCATGCAACTGTGCCGTGACTTCCAGTACCAACACCTCATGCAACTGTACCATTTGTGTAAAGGAGGCGACAACGAGGTGGTGATGGTTGGAGTGGTCCTGGTGGTGCTGAGCGGCTCCTGGGGACTCTAGCACGACCATTTGCTGCCCACCAATCACAATCTCGCTCCCCACAACTTGGTACCCACAGCCAGGTAGGTTCATCTGTCAATACAAAGAGCCATTAACACTAAAACATGCCCTAGAATAAATAATAGAAACTATATATGCTGGAAAAATCCTCGGGGGGTTAATTCTCGGGCACAATGGGTTACAAGTATAAAACCTACCAATATCGTATCTTACATAAACAATTACTTTTTATTATTTTACTACATATGTATTTTTAAAAAATTCTCATAATACTGCAGAGAATATGTCACAATAATGAGGTTGAAAAACAAATAACCATACCCACATACAACCAGGGTTGAATGTAACTGCCCAGATCAAAACAAACTCCCACGGGGAGTTGTGCAGGACTGCGCAGGACACGCTGTCCGAACCGCACAACCCGCTCGGCGGGAAGGCGCCAACTAGGACTATTGTACAAGAAAAGTAGCCAAACAGTACGTGACCTGAGTGAACCGCTAAATAGAAGAAACAGCCCATCTCATGGGACAGGAGCCAAAAGAGGAGTAAGCAGCGACAACAAAGCCGGCTTACGAAATGAAAACAAGAAACCTAAACGTGAACCCAATTGGGCTACAAGTAGCCCAATCCGGCATCCCGGACTAGTAGTATGCAAAGAAAACGAGCAGTGCTGAGACAGAGCACGGAGAGAAAAGACAGCACAAAAAGAACGAGACAGGACCGAAAACCAAGAATAAGCACAGAAAAGGACCAACAAGCCCCAGAAAGGACCGGAGGGAAGCCACACCAAAAGACGACAGACGTTCCAATAATACGAGAAGTAGCAAAAAACCTTCTCGAACCTTCGAGAACACAGAGGCAAGCACAAGTCACGAAAGCACATAAAGGCACAGTCGCACCGGAGACCAAAAGTCATGTAGAACCCCAAGAAGAGCACCCGCCGACAGGACGGAACCAACTGACTCAAGGGACAAGGAACCGAGCCCAGGGAGGGGGCCGACGCCCAACAACTTGTATGGAGAGGGGGGGGGGAGGGAAGAAAAACCCCCACTCCGCATAACCGCAAGCCCTGCCTAGAGGGTAGAAAAACCCCTGCGAGGTCCAACAGGGCCCTAGACCACCCAAGTCAGCCCCTCCCCAGCCCTGGGAACCCACACGGCAGGCTACGGGGCCGAGCCGTCCCCCCAAAGCCCCGGCCTCACAAGAAAAAAACCGGGGCAGCTGCGAAAATACTAAGGAAGGGAGCCCACTGGCAGACTCTTACAACACGGCTGGAGGAACAGGCTCAATTGTCCCCATTGCTACCGCGGAAGGGGAATTCCCCGAGATTGCCCGAGTCTCAAACCCAACGAAATCCTGCCCCGACCCCAAACCCACAGACAGTAAGGATCAGGATGCAGGTAGGAAGGGGGGACTAGACTAGACCACAACAGGGAAAAGACAGGGGGGTATGGAAGGAACCGAAGCAACCAACACCCCTGTTGGAAATTTCCAACAGTTATTCTCATCCCTAATACAACAGGATGTATTTCCTATATTAGGCTTCATAGTAGGCATCCATTAGTCTCAGGAGACTATGGAGTTGCGCTCTGATGTTGGCCTGGTATGGAGTGGCCTCTCCAGGGTGCAAAGCCAGCGTAGGTTGATACGGGGGAGAAGCTGTTACCCAGGCAGCAGGTCCCCCCTCTCCACGGCACTGAAAGTCTCCAATGGAAAGGCATATGCTAATACGATTGGTTCCAGCGCCGTCGCAGGAACTGTGAGTTCCGGGGATGGCCTCGAAGCTGGTGAAGAAGGGCACAAGGACCTCCAACCCCGGAGACCACCGTGGTCGGGGCCGGAGAAGAACCACCCAGCAAGGGTATGATTGACCCCAGCCTCCTGAAGCAGAGCCTGGGACGCACGACCCTCGGGAGGTGGACGTCCCGGTCCCGTAGCTGCGGGTTCCAGACGAAGATCGTGACAGCCCTCTTCAACCCGAGGCCGGCCTCCTTCAAGACCAAGTAGAAGGAAGAGTGATAATTATTAAATACAATAATTATTATTATAATAATAATAAAAATATTGAATAATTATCACTCTTCCTTCTACTTGGTCTTGAAGGAAGCCGGCCTCGGGTTGAAGAGAGCTGTCACGATCTTTGTGACAGCCATATTCATACACATCTAATATTCATTTACTAATCCTTAATACAACAGGATGTATTTCCTGTATTAAGCGTAATAATTAACTAACACTACTAATATGTAGTTTAGTACTGTAGAATTTACTGTATTAGGTTGTGGAACATCATGTAATTTCTCCTAGAATTGTGTAGTGTTGCGTCAGCCATGCAAGGAGATAAAATTTCCACATACCAGTAGATTTAACACCAATGTAACCATTTACTTTCCCATATTAGGAATAATTATTTAGTAATAGGTTTACTTTTAGTGTAGAACAGTTTACTGGAATTCTTGAACCCAGCTTGATCGCTGTTCCAGTAAATCATATCATAATCTAACATCATTTCCACCACCAAGCAAGTATTGTTTTATTTGTGCAGTCTACATTAACCGACTTGCACTGTGAGAATTAAAACATCACCACATAAAGAATTTATCTAAACCATCAAGAGTGTTCATAAACGCCTCCTTCCCTATTTAGCTTTAATAAATAAATATAATTTATGCTTGAATCCTCACGGTGAGCTATTGCGCATGCCTGACTTTCGAAAAAGAAGGAGAGAGGACTCTCGCCATATTCGATCAACAAGCAATTTTTTGGACCGCTCTGAAGCGGTCCAACAAATCTTACCATCCTGACGGCATCCTTACATCCCTAGATGCTGGATTGAGGACGCAGCTTACCAGAATCACGGACACCAGTTCGGCAGGCATTTTTACCTCATTTGTTCTATTTAACGAGCTCTTAAATAAGATCATGTAGGTGCCATGTCGTTATGATGCGGGCGTAAAAAATAATCCCATGTAAGTGCAGCTCCTTTCCCTCCAAATATTTAGACATGACCTTATATGTGTGTGAATACTAGTTTGGGGTGGAAATTATGGAATTATCATTATTGCAGCATGGTGCAACACCCTTGAGGAAGCGTGTGACCGCCATAACCTCACGTGCTCCAAGTATCACTATCTCAAACGTGTAATTACCTAAGTGTAGTTACAGGATGAGAGCTACGCTCGTGGTGTCCCGTCTTCCCAGCACTCTTTGTCATATAACGCTTTGAAACTACTGACGGTCTTGGCCTCCACCACCTTCTCACTTAACTTGTTCCAACCGTCTACCACTCTATTTGCGAAGGTGAATTTTCTTATATTTCTTCGGCATCTGTGTTTAGCTAGTTTAAATCTATGACCTCTTGTTCTTGAAGTTCCAGGTCTCAGGAAGTCTTCCCTGTCGATTTTATCAATTCCTGTTACTATTTTGTACGTAGTGATCATATCACCTCTTTTTCTTCTGTCTTCTAGTTTTGGCATATTTAATGCTTCTAACCTCTCCTCGTAGCTCTTGCCCTTCAGTTCTGGGAGCCACTTAGTAGCATGTCTTTGCACCTTTTCCAGTTTGTTGATGTGCTTCTTAAGATATGGGCACCACACAACAGCTGCATATTCTAGCTTTGGCCTAACAAAAGTCATGAACAATTTCTTTAGTATATCGCCATCCATGTATTTAAATGCAATTCTGAAGTTAGAAAGCATTGCATAGGCTCCTTGCACAATATTCTTTATGTGGTCCTCAGGTGATAGTTTTCTATCTAGAACCACCCCTAGATCTCTTTCTTTATCAGAATTCTTTAAAGATTTCTCACATAATATATAGGTTGTATGGGGTCTATGTTCTCCTATTCCACATTCCATAACATGACATTTATTAACATTAAATTCCATTTGCCAAGTGGTGCTCCATATACTTATTTTGTCCAGGTCTTCTTGAAGGGCATGACAATCATCTAAATTTCTTATCCTTCCTATTATCTTAGCATCATCAGCAAACATGTTCATATAATTCTGTATACCAACTGGTAGATCATTTATGTACACAATAAACATCACTGGTGCAAGAACTGAACCCTGTGGTACTCCACTTGTGACATTTCTCCATTCCGATACATTGCCTCTGATTACTGCCCTCATTTTTCTATCAGTCAGAAAATTTTTCATCCATGATAGAAGCTTACCTGTCACCCCTCCAATATTTTCCAGTTTCCAGAACAACCTCTTATGTGGAACTCTGTCGAAAGCCTTTTTTAGGTCCAGATAGATGCAGTCAACCCAACCATCTCTTTCCTGTAATATCTCTGTGGCTCGATCATAGAAACTGAGTAAATTCGATACACAGGATCTTCCAGATCGAAAACCATACTGTCTGTCTGATATTATATCATTTCTCTCCAGGTGTTCTACCCATTTAGTTTTGATTAGCTTTTCCAATACTTTCACTATTACACTTGTCAATGATACAGGTCTATAATTGAGGGGGTCTTCCCTGCTGCCACTTTTGTAGATTGGAACTATGTTAGCCTGTTTCCACACGTCTGCTACGATTCCTGTACACAGGGATGCCTGAAAGATCAGGTGAAGTGGAATGCTGAGCTCAGATGCACATTCTCTCAGAACCCATGGTGAAACGCCATCTGGGCCAGCTGCTTTGTTCTTCCCGAGCTCCTTTAGCATATTTTCCACTTCATCTCTAGACACCTCTATCCGCTCTATGTTGTTCTCTGGAATTCTTATTGTGTCTGGTTCTCTGAAGATTTCATTTTGTACAAACACACTTTGGAACTTTTCATTTAATGTTTCACACATTTCCTTTTCATTTTCCGTGAATCTGTTTCCCATTTTCAACCTCTGGATATTATCCTTTACCTGCAATTTGTTGTTTATGAATTTGTAGAATAGGCCCGGTTCTGTTTTACATTTATCTGCTATCCCTTTTTCAAAATTTCTTTCTGCCTCTCTCCTTACTGCTGTATAGTTGTTTCTCGCATCTTTGTATCGCTGGTATGTTTGGGGGTTTGGCCTCTTCCTATACTGATTCCATTTTTGTGTCTTTTGGTCTCTTGCCCTCTCACA